AGCATTGAAATTGGAAAATCAATTTATCAGCTCTGTGATTTGGAAGAGTGACTAAAGAAATTTTTCTAGGAAGCTCTTTCTGAAGATGTTCCTCCCGTGTCAGAAAATTTTGTTTCTATATGGATTTTTTTTTCCTACTTGTATATGTAGGGCCTCGACATCCATATTTGCACAGGGCCACCAAAATCAATGGACTGGCTCTGTTCTTGAGTACATTGATGAGACATGGAAAACTGGTCCTGGACTTCTGCCTGAGGATCCTTACGAAAGGGCCCGAGTTCGCTTCTGGGCTAGCTTTGTCCACCAACAGGTTTCTAAGTTTTGTCAAACAAATTAATGAGATTTTTTCGGCTAAAATTTTAGTTGATTAATGGTTACAAGTTTTGAGTGCAGGTATTTGAAAGTCTGTCCTTGGCCTGCCGATCTGATGGAGAAGTACAAGAGAAAGCCATCAAGGAGTTGCTTGAAAAATTAAAGACATTTGAAGAGGGAATGAAGGAATTTTTCCCAGACAGCATCGATTCGATTGAAAGAACCAAGAATCTGGGACTTCTGGACATTGTATTGTATTCAGGATTTGGAGCTCATAAAGTTCCAGAAGAAGTGCTTGGTACCAAAATTATAGACCCAGAGAAGACCCCACTAATATTTTCTTGGCTGACAGCTCTAAATGAATTGCCTTTGGTGAAAGAGCTAACCCCTCCTCATGAAAAGCTGGTAGCTGTTCTTCAGTTCTTCAGAAATAATGCCCTTAAATGTGGTGCTGCTTGACCTTATGTCACACATGACATAGAAATAAAAAGTAAGGCCAATATAAACAAATAAAACACTGCTGTATGATTTGATAAGGCCACATTTAAATGTAGAAATGCACTTATTTTCCTTATGCCCCTGTGTTTTTTTCTGTATTTATTTTTACTAAGCACAGATGAAAATCCAGAAGTCTTGTTTGAGTTTTGCTCGTCAAGTTTGTTGCTTTTAGCTTATTGTCATTAGGCCAATTTACCCTACCGTTTTCAACTTTGTTTTGAATGTAGAAAAACAAAACACTGCTATATGATTTGATAAACAAAATGGAATATGCTTTGGAAGGTGAAGAACAGAAGAAGAAAATGGCATATGGGGTCAATTGGTAATTATCTCACTACAATCTAGCTTAACAGAGGGAGTTTTGGTTTAAACTCAATAGTAAGTTTAATATTGTTGTAGATAATAACCAAATTTCATCTAATAATCTAGATGAGGTCAATGACTAAAATATAGCATTTAATTTTGTAATAATTAAATACTAATTATTCACTATATAAATAACAATTTAAGTAATTCAATAAGGCTAAGATATTTCTTAATTACAAATATCAAACAAAAAAACTAAATTTTTTTAAAATAAAAAAAAAGGTATATTCGAATAAATAAATATAAATATTCAAATATATTAGAATCTTTTCACGGTATAGCCGGTCGGCTATACTCTTTATATTATATTTTAAAGGTATAGCCGTACGGCTAAACTATTTAAATAAAATAGTTTAACGGTATAGCCGGTCGGCTTTACTTTATAAATAGTCTATTTTGACAGTATAGCCGATCGGCTATACTATATAAATAATATATTTTAAACATATAGCTGCGCGGATTTACTTTATAAATAGTTCATTTTAAAGGTATAGCCGCGCGGGTATACTATTTAAATAGAATATTTTAAAGGGACAGCCTTGCGGCTAAACTATTTAAATAAAATATTTTAACGGTATAGCCGCGCGGCGGTACTCTATAAATAGTATATTTTAACAGTATAGCCTCTATAAATAGTCTATTTTAACAGTATAGGCTCTCGGCTATACTATACAAATAATATATTTTAACAGTATAGCCGCCTGGCTTTACGTTATAAATAGGTCATTTTAAATGGGACAGCCGCCCGGCCGTACTCTATAAGAGCCAAAACCTAACTAATACAAAAGAACAAGAATGCACTAAAAAAACTAAGTAAAAAAATTCAAATCCGCAATCAACACCATACGTAGAATGTTACATAAATTACTTGCATAATAGAACAGAAAAATCGCGCTTTGGGAAATCACACAAGAAACTGAAAACAAGAAATGAAGAACATAGATAAGACATGACTCACGCTCTTGAGAAATATACCACTCTTCGTTTTCGGGTATTTCTAGCTATTGCTAGGGCGTATTTCTAGCTATCGCTTCCGAATAATATGTTCCTACTACGATTGGAGCATTGTAAGCAGCTAGAGAAATGGCATGTTGCTGCTGTTTGTGATAATTTGCAGGTTGTAGTAGAAGAAGAAGCCACTTGGAAAATGGAAATGCCACTGATCCCAAATGAAATTAATAATGTTTTCACCCTTGAAAAGCAAAGCTATTACTCTAATCAAAGTAGTAAAAGCAACTTTCTTCAACTTCTTATTTAAAACATGCAAAACAAAAAGGAAAACACAGAATTTTACGATTGAGATGGAGGATTGATGGCAAGCTGTCTCAAGGTCCCAAGAAGTGCCACAATCTTTTCATGAGAAGGGATTGTCTCTTGCACCAGAGATAGCTCTCTTATAGCTTCCACCCAAGAGAACAGTAGTGGAGTTTTCTCTGGGTCTATAACTTTGATACCAAGAATTTCTTCTGGAGCTTTAAAAAGGCAAAGTATTGAACTTGCTACCACCTCTAGGAGGCTCAAATTCTTAGCCTCAAAAGTAGGAATTCCATCTGGATAAAAGCTCTTAATTCCCTCCTCAAGCACCTTCAATAGCTCATACACCTCATTGAGGGCTTTCTCTTGTGTTTCCCCCTCAGTTTTAACCGCTGTCATCATGATGCCAGAAAACTGCACTTAATTACAATCATTAGCCCTTGTATTAATTAATAATCACATTGATAAACTCACTTGTTTTATATATATAAGAACAAAACACAAGGTGACACAAGTGTTGGTAGGCCGGCCATCTCCAATAGTACAACAAGCATCAAGTTAAAAATGTCCTTATTCAACATTTATTAATAAAGTAATGCTAGTGACATCAAATTTTATTCATCAAATTGTTTGTATGTCTGCATGCATTATTTCGTATAATTTTAGCGAACAAATTTGGCGAGTATAGCAGGAAATAGTAGCATAGATATAAGAGGGTGTCACTGTCACCTTTTGATGGACAAAATCAACCCAAAAGCGAACTTGTGCCCTTTTGTAGGGATCTTCCGGGAGAAGATGAGGACCATTTTTCCAAGTATCTTCAATATATTGAAGGATGACAAGAGACTCAGCAATGGGCTTTCCATTGTGAACAAGCACAGGAACTTTCTTGGAGACAGGGTTGTACTTGAGCAGTTCTGGGGTCTTGTTCTTGAAATCTTCTTCCACATATTCATAGGATATGCCCTTCAGTTTAAGGGCTAGTTCCACCCTCTTTGAGTAAGGGCTTGCCCAAAACCCATGTACTATCACACTCTCACTCTTTTCCCCTGCCATCTCTCTTTTTTTTTTTTTTTTTTTCTCAGTTCTTTCTTGTGTAGTGAGTTCATTCTTGCTGCTTTATATAGAGTTCTAAACTATGTCCACAAACATTAGTATTTTACTATAAGGCTAAAATAGTTGGCAGGCAGGCAGCTTTTGTGGAGTATAATAATTCATTAAAGAATGGATTATGATTTGTTGGAAGTTGGAACTTTGTGAAAGACTGCTTGCATTTGTTTTTTGTTGTTGTTTTTTTTTGGGTGGCTAGACACTGAAAGAGTAAATGAGTCAATAAAAAGCAAAGGGGATGCAGAAGCTTACCTTGGGAAAAAAAAAATTATTGGAAAAAAATCGAAATAATATGAAAAACTAATGTCAAGAATGGGATTCGAACCCATGCCCTTTCGGACCAGTACCTGAAACTGGCGCCTTAGACCAACTCGGCCATCTTGACTGATTGTTAGCTGAAGCAATGACATGATAATTATTCATAGTAGCCAAGCACGAGTATTATTACATTTCTTTTCTCTTTTTTGGGTTTAATTACGTTTCCCGCGTTTCTTCAAAATGATCTGTGACAAAACAAAAACAAAAGAAATTGATTAACTCCGGTAAATTGAAGTGTTTTGGTGAGAGTTTGGGAGAGAGATTGGCTGGGTTGGTGGGGTGTGGGAGGGGGCACTCGTTGCTGGACGAAGAGTTTCGATTTGACCGTAATGCCCCTCCATGTGAGGGGGACGTGCTGATGCCCTAACAGAACTAACATAAATCTGACGGAAATTGAGAAGTGTCCTTGAATTGCTTGGATTCTTAAACCACAGTGGCAAAAGTGACGAAATTGAAACCACAGGGACCTTAGTGGTAAAAGTTGGAAACCACAAGGACTACAAGTGTCGTTTTGCCTTATTACATTTCTTTTCTCTTTTTTGGGTTTAATTACGTTCCCGCGTTTCTTCAAAATGATCTGTGACTAGTTGACTATGTTTTCCCTGTCCTCTTCACGAACCCAAATGAATTCTCTCCTCAATCAAAAACTCCACACCAGAATCTCGCCCTTCACTCTCAAATTCGTATCCTCGCTTGCCGTTGTGGAAAACCCATCTTCTTTTCCCAGCGAAAACGATCAAAGTCCCAGTCATTTTGACCCCTTGCAGTTCTTCAATGATTATACAAAATCAACACAGTGTACTACTAGAAACACTAAAATCTTGCACACCCATTTGCTTAGAACTGATTTACTGCAATCCAATATCTTCATTGCGAATTCTTTGCTTGATTCGTACTGTAAGTCTTCTGCCATGGTAGATGCACTGAAGTTGTTTGATTTTATTGCTGACCGAACTGTTATTTCATGGAATATGATGATATCGGGTTATAACCAGAACTCCTTATTTGAGAAGTCGTGGGAAATTTTTGGTAGGATGCACTCTTTGGGTTTTGAGCCCAATGAGTTTACCTATGGGAGTGTTCTTTCAGCTTGCACTGCCTTGCAAGCTCCCATTTTGGGTAAGCAGGTTTATTCACTTGCAATAAAAAACGGGTTCTTTCCGAATGGTTATGTTCAGACCGGAATGATAGACTTGTTTGCAAAAAATTTCAGCTTTGACAATGCTTTGAGGGTTTTTCATGATGTTTCATGTCAGAATGTTGTGAGTTGGAATGCGATTATCTCTGGAGCAGTGAGAAATGGAGAGAACATGGCTGCTTTGTATATTTTTCGGCAAATGTGTCGTGGAGATTTTTTGCCAAATAGTTTTACATTTTCTAGTGTTTTAACCGCTTGCGCTGCACTTGAAGAAGTTGGAGTTGGGAAGGAAGTTCAAGGGTGGGTGATTAAACGTGGTGCAGAGGATGTCTTTGTTGGGACTACTATTGTGGATTTATATGCCAAATGTGGAAAAATGAATGAAGCTGTCAAGAAATTCTCACGTATGCCAACCCGTAATGTGGTTTCTTGGACTGCCATCATTTCAGGTTTTGTGCATAAGGATGATTCTGTTTCTGCACTAAAAGTTTTCGGAGAAATGAGAAAAATGGGAGAACAAATGAATAAGTACACTGTTACTAGTATACTTACTGCATGTGCTAAAACATCCATGGCTGAAGAGGCAACCCAAATTCATTCTTTGATATTAAAAGCTGGATTCTATTCAGCTGCAGTTGTGGGGTCAGCTTTAATTAACGCATACTCAAAAATAGGAGCAGTTGATCTATCTGAGATGGTGTTCAGAGAGATGGAAAATATAAAGGATCTGGGTACATGGGCTGCGATGATATCTTCTTTCGCTCAGAATCAAAATTCTGGAAGGGCAATTGAATTGTTCCAGAGAATGTTACAAGAAAGTGTGAGACCAGATAAGTTTTGTACTTCCAGTGTCTTGAGTATTGTAGACTGTTTAAATCTAGGGAGACAGATACACAGCTACACTCTTAAAATTGGGCTGGTCTCTGTTGTTTCTGTTGGTAGTTCTCTTTTCACAATGTACTCGAAGTGTGATAGTCTAGAGGAATCTTACAAAGTTTTTCAGCAAATTCCTGACAAAGACAATGTTTCATGGGCCTCAATGATTTCCGGTTTTGTAGAACATGGCTGTGCAGATCAAGCCCTTCAACTATATAGAGAGATGCTATCAGAAGAAGTTATACCTGACCAAATGACTTTAACTGCAATTCTAATGGCGTGTTCTGCTTCTCGTTCCCTACAGACAGGTAAGGAAATTCATTGTCATGCTCTTCGCAAAAGAGTCCAACAAGATGTACTTGGTGGTGCAATTGTGACCATGTACTCAAAATGCAGTGCTCTAAAATTGGCAAGGACGGTGTTTGATATGCTTCCCCAAAACGATGAGGTTGCATGCTCTTCCTTGGTTTCAGGGTATGCCCAAAATGGGTACATCGAAGAGGCATTTTTGCTATTCCATGATATGCTGATGGCGGATTTGACTATTGACTCCTTCACAATTTCATCTATTATTGGGGCCATTGCACTTTTAAATAGACTTAGTATTGGGACTCAACTGCATGCCCACATAATGAAAGTTGGCTACAATTCAGATGTTTCTGTTGGCAGTTCACTACTGACAATGTACTCAAAATGTGGAAGCATTGAAGAGTGCTGCAAAGCATTTGTTCAAATTGAGAAACCAGATTTAATTTGTTGGACAGCTATGATTGTTAGCTATGCTCAACACGGGAAAGGCGCACAGGCTTTAAGAGCGTATGAGCTTTTGAGGGAACAAGGAATTAGACCTGATTCAGTGACTTTTGTTGGACTTTTATCTGCTTGTAGCCATAACGGATTGGTTGAAGAAGCTTATTTCTATTTTAACTCAATGGTTAACGACTATGGACTAGAGCCTGGTTATCGTCACTATGCCTGCATGGTTGATCTCCTTGGTCGATCAGGGAGACTGAAAGAGGCTGCATGGTTCATTGAGAATATGCCTATTGAACCGGATGCCTTACTATGGGGGACACTGCTTGCGGCTTGTAAAGTTCACGGAGATATGGAGCTTGGAAAGCTCGCAGCTGAAAAGGTTATGGAGTTGAAGCCATGTGATGCCGGGACATATGTCTCCCTTTCAAACATCTGTGCAGATGTAGGCCAGTGGGAGGAAGTCCTGAAGATTAGAAGCCAGATGAAAGGAACTGATGTGAGGAAGGAACCTGGTTGGAGCTTAGTGTAAACTATAATTATACTTTGATTGGTTAGTCTCACTGGTGAGTGATTATGACTTTATCGCAAATTTAAGAAAAATCAACTAACAATAGAAGGGTGAGCAGATTGACACAAAGGACTGCAAGCAAATAAAAATGCTTCACTGTATACTAGATACTAGCGTGTCTCGGTAAATTTACATATGGCCCTTCTCATTCCTTCTTTAGTTTGGTGATTTCTCTGTGATAGATGGAGTTTGGCCCTTTTTCATTTTGTCTCAAACTTTGTTTCTCATTCAATGTTTTCTTTGGCTCCGTATAGCGAAATACAATCCCACTTTGGAATGAAACACAGGGAACTTATTCTTACTGAGCATATTGAAGAGACATACCAATGCCTGCTGCTTAAGTTTGGTATTAAGCAGATCAGAGGGCAAGCTAGTCAGAAGAGCCAAACTAGTGGGAGCATACCAAGCATTCCAAAACAGGGGGGTGAAATTCCGAGCGTGCAGTTTAAAATGAATAAAAGGAAGAATCACAAAACCTTCTTGATGAAACTTGGCATGCCTTGTACGCATGTAAGTCCTACTCATTTTTGTTCCTCGACTTTTATCTTCTTCTAGACAAACATATATTGGTTTGTTGGATATTTTTCTGTAGTTCAGGGGGTTATACTGTTCAGAGTAAAAGCTTGCAAAAATGGATCTTAAAAAGTTGCACTACATTTTTGTTTATTTGTGTTCTAAATCTTATTAAATGGTTGCCATTTAACACGATGCTGCTTCATGTGGTTTAATCCGTCAACGTTCTTGCTATCCAATTCTCTAGTCTAATTTGCCCTTCTTATATTTTCAGTCTAAATGGGGATTTTCATTTTCGATGCTTGAATCAAATGAATCAAAGGTTATAAGCCATCCATGGGATTTTGACCTGGTTTAGTACACACTGCATTGGATGCAGTTCTTGTTGCTGGCGAATAAACGAAGAATCGGACTGCAGGACAAGAGAACTGGGGCAAATATTGCAGAATTCGTGTAAACGCCAAATGAACATCATTACAATGCAGAGATTGGCGCATGGGTTCCAATTCTCTTTTTGTGCTCAATTTAAGGGAGGAGGGGGTTATACTGTTCAGAGTAAAAGCTTGCAAAAATGGATCTTAAAAAGTTGCACTACATTTTTGTTTATTTGTGTTCTAGATCTTATTAAATAGTTGCCATTTAACACGATGATGCTGCTTCATGTGGTTTAATCCGTCAACGTTCTTGCTATCCAATTCTCTAGTCTAATTTGCCCTTCTTCTATTTTCAGTCTAAATGGGGATTTTCATTTTCGATGCTTGAATCAAATGAATCAAA